ACACGCACGCACGCACGCACACCAAGCAGAGAAAGAGTTTTTTTCTTAACAATCTCTACTCGCAACCACAGGCCTGAAGGTGTAGCTGATCTGTCCCTATTTTCTTTAGCAATACCATGGATGGCACAACCTTTTGTTGTCGTGCTAGATTTGCATGGCCTTTTAGGCCGGGTTTTGTTTATTTATAAACCCTGTAACAACAGCTATAATCACTCCATCATAGACTAGTTATCGAACATGCAACAAGGTTCAGTGTGAGTTGTGGCGCAGAGGAAGCGGAGATTTTAACAGCGCTGAACTCTCTGACCCTCTCCCTTGTTTCCCCTCCTGAAAATGCCATCTCTCCCCGTCGCGAGACAGATTACCAGAAAACAAAAGGTTCGGGGCGTGGCTTCGTGACGGGCCATCTGCGGGAGGGGCGTGGCCCGGGAATATACAGCAGCGCTCGTTGCATTCAACACATAGATAGACCCTTTAAGTTATGGCTGTACCTTCTTTATAATGGTCAGAAGCAGTGGGTGTTAAACGAGGAATTCTGTCAAAAGCGTCCTAGCTGTGAGGTTCTAACCGTTCTACGTATTGTAGTTAAGTACCACTGGCGTTTAGATGCGCACTCGATGCAGTTCAAACCATGCGATCATCATCTGACATACAGTAGCAGTTCCTACACAGTAGCAACTAAAGTTGCTGTCCTGTCAACTAGTGCAACCTCGTGGACAAAAGAGGTACTGCAGGGCCATTCTAGGCCTCTGATTTTTCATTCCCTCAAACATTTTTAAAAGTGGTCATTCACCCAAACAGAAATCTCCATTAAAATTAATTTAAATAATATTGCATTAATTAAATATGTACATAAAAATATGATACAAAGCGTTTTGTCATGTCAATTGTGCACATAATTTAGAATTGAAGAGCTTATTTGCAAAAACAGTTAACTCTGTTTTTATTAATTCTCATAAATCATGTTTTTTATTGTGTTAGCATGTTATTATTGTGTTAGTTAGCTGTATTTTTTTTGTTATTATTATATTTAATCAAAACAACCAAACTGCAGTTTGATTGATATTAATTGGAATGCAGGATTTTAAAAAAGCATGATTTTTGAACATTTTTAAAAACTGAGTTATCTGTTTTTGCAAATGAACTCTTCAATTGTAGTTATTAATATGAACATCTGTTCGCGTTCATTTTTTAACATTCTATTTGTTCTTTTTGATTACATTTGTTACAATTACGAAAAAGGTATATAATACACACAAAAAGGCAATTTACTAACATTAACACAATAAAACAGCACAAACAAGGATTTATATTTTTTCTACGTTTGTAAGTCAGTTTGAATTAAAAAAAATGCAAATATATATATATATATTGGAAAAATTATACATGGAATGTATTCACTAGCTACTATTCAGCTCAAGACAGTGAAGATAAAAAATATAACAAAACATTTTAATATAATATGTATGCACAGTATTAAACTTAAATTAAAATTACATTTCATTTTTGATTACAGTGTATTTTAATGAAGTAATTTAACTTTATTTGGACAGTATCCTCTATAATCAGTAGGGCTGTGAATCTTTGGGTAGGTTTTCGATTCGATTCAAGAACGATTTTTGCAAAGTTAGAACGATTAAATTAGATTCGATTCACAATTAAATTCGATTCGATTATAACGATTTGATTCTGCTTTCTTTAAGTGCATTCACAGGATTATTTAAATGCTTCCGCTAAATTCTTTAAATGCTTAGTCAGGGGGCAAATTACACAGCAGCCTTTATAGTTAGAGAGCCATAGGTTAGAGAAAAAAACAACACTTTTGTCCATTGTTAGATGCTAGTTTAATGATGCTATGGCATGACATGGCATATGTAGAAAT